GCTTCCGCTTCCTCAAGCCCCTTCAGTCTGAATCCTCAGCGACCACTGATGCAAGACAACACTTTAGGATTAATTCTCATTCCTAAAGTAATCCAAATCTCAATGTCCAACCAAGATTTCCTATTAGTGTGCCCTAATCCATTTTCATGTTTCAAATTATCATTCTAAGGGTTTTTAATCTCAAATCAAGGATTAACAATGCTAATGGATTTATCTCAAGTCCCCAAATGAAGCTAATTTGGGTTCTCCCCGAAAACAGGGGTCAAAACAACAATTCCAGGCCAAACAGGGTCAACCCCCGTGTCAACCGGTCGACCGGTGACAGTGCAGTGCAACACTACCGGTCGACCGGTAGTGTGCACACCGGTCGACTGGACAGGGCGACCGGTCAGCCTGCAATCCGGTCAACCGCATAGGTCGACCGGTTTTCATGTGATTTGGTCGACCAGTGGAATCAGTTGCGCGAGAGAAGCTCACAGAAATCAGTCTAAAACCTGCAAATTCAATCCCAAATCGAGATATTTCAAAGGGAAACCACTAGATCTGGGTTCTAGGTCCTAAAACAAGTCCAAAGAACCCAAGATCTCCAATTTCTACTCTAGTTTTACTCAAAAACCATCAAAATCCGGTTTGAACCAAAAATAAGTTTTGAAATTCAAAAACTTGAGATTCAAGAGAGGTTCTTTCAGTAATCTTACCTTGAATCTTTCTCTTAACGTTGAAAACTTCTTTAAATCTTTTCTTGGTTCAAGATCCGTTTGATTTGGGACACAAATGAGAGAGAGAGAGTGGGCGAGAGCACGGAAGAGTGAGAGAGAGAGAGACGCACGGGAAAGGAAAAGGAAGGAAAAGGAAAAGAAAAGAAAAGAAAAAGAAAAGAAAAGGAAAAAGAAAAGAAAATGACATGTGTACAATATTTTAAAAGAACAGTCCAGAAATGCACCCATACACATTTCTCGGTTAAAATAAATTACTGAGAACAATTTAAATACCTTGGAACTATTTAAACTCACACGTGTCAGAAATATTTATTAATTAAACTCAATTAGTAATCCAGATTAGGCACACTAATAATCTCAATTACCTTAATTAATCTCAATTAATTCTTCAGGGTGTTACAAGTATATTTAGTATAAAAAACGTGATATAATATGCTATTTTTATTTTTGTTCTAATGCATAATTCTATTTAAAATGATACATCTATTTTTTTTCTATAATCATTAAGCTTTGAAAATTATAGAGGTGAATTTTTATTTATCAAATAATTTAAAATGTAAAAGTTGCAATGATTACATGAAAAGTAAACATTTCAACCAATGACAATTAAATGTCAAAATTTCAATATGCTATACTTGGTGGGAAATTTATCAAAAGTTTTTTGCACTCAAATGTTAAATTTGTAATTAGCATATTAATTATAACATTACATCATCAAAAAGTGTGATATGACATGTTATTTTTTTATTTTTGCTTCAATATATAATGTTATTTAAAATGTTAAATCTACTTTTTTCATAATTATTAAGCATTAAAAGTTGTAAAAGTAAATTTTTATTTTTAGAATAATTAGAAAACATAAAAATTGCAATGATTACATGAAAAATTAAACATTTCAACCAATCTCATATAGAAAATTTGTCACAACAAATAACAGATTACATGGAGAGTTTTTTTTTTTTTTTGGTACTTAAATGTGTTACAATTGGCATATCAATTATAACAGCATTTGAGATGCTCTAATAAATAGTTGATGTCTGCATTAGGCTAATTTTGAGTTGTTAAATTTGACATAATACTATGTATTCACTTTAGAGCAAAGAAAAAATATATATATTTATCATTATTTTTCCCTTGTACTATAATTCAAATAGAGATGGCAACTTTTTTAAATTTTGGATAAAAACTCCAAATAATTTAGAAGAATTGAACAGGGAGGGGCTAATGTTTTTCTTTTTTTTCTTTTTTGGGTAAATGATTAACATTTTATACTATTATAGTATGAGATGGTTTTTATTTTTTATTATTTTTTCTCAAGACAATTATTATTTTGCATGTGTCTAGGGTTTTAAGAAGAATTCATTAGTCTATCGAGCTAATTTTTTTTATTTCTTTCTTTTCTTTTTTTGAATTATTAATATTTTTTTACTTTCATCCGTTAAATATATATTAAAAATTATTTATTTTATGTACTTTTTAATTTAATATGATTTTAACGTAATCTAATTATCAAAACTAACACACAGGTCTACTCTATATATATATATATATATATATTTTTTTTTTTGCAAATGAGTAGTAAATAGTAGTAATTAATATTAGTATTCGTTTTTTGATTCGAATCATGATTCATAATTCACTACAGTATTTTTTCTCATAAAAAATATACATAAATTAAAAATTGTTGTAATCTATGAACCTAATGGCTCTAAGCCTTTTCCTCCATTTTTCATTGTTTTTTCTTCTATCCGATTTTGTTTCACGATCCAATTAACAGCGCGTGGGGCAACATCTTCATCACCATGGAAGACAACGCCTTCTTCCGTTGGCGGGGTCGGTACAACGTCTCCATCACCCGCCGTGGGTAATGAATAGAAAAAAAACACCAGAAAAACTTCTCTAAAAAATTCTTAATAAATTATTAAAAAAAAAAAACAGAGAGAGAGGTGGGGTATTAGCTATGGAGTCACTCCTCGGAGAGAAGAAGACGAACCGAAACCAAACCCTTAATAAATCCTCCATCTCCGCCATTGCCAATCTTCCCCCTTCCTCTCCTCTCCGAAACCTCCACTGTTATGTGCTTCGCAACGAAGCCACGCATAAGCTTCGCTGTGGATGGGCGGCGACGGGGACTACGGCGACTCTCCGACAGGTCCTCCGCCGCCAGACGACGCCGTCCCGGAGGAGGATGACTCTTCGCCGGCTTCTTCCTTGCTCAGAAACCGACTCGCCGAGTCGCCGATCCTCCTGCTCGTCTACTTCCACAAGGCGTTCCGCGCCGAGGTCGCCGACCTCCGTCGCGCTGTCGCCAACGCGTCGGAGCGTGGACACCACTCGCGGGACTTCAACTTCGAGCTCTTGCGCCGCTTCGAGTTCCTCAAGCTCGCTACGAAGTACCACTGCGCTGCCGAGGACGAGGTATGTCTAAAACGATTTTCCGATCTTGAATTGGATCGGAAATTCTCGTCTAAAGCAGAGTAAAATTCTTGATTTCGTCTTTGAATTATTCGCGTTTTCTTCGATTTTGATCGCTGTTTTTGCTTCGATTGTTTGTGTGTGTTTGTTTGGCAGGTGATTTTTCTGGCGCTTGATGTTCACGTGAAGAATGTGGCGAGTACCTATTCGCTTGAGCACAAGAGCATCGACGGGCTTTTCGATTCGATCTTCTTCCGGTTGAATGCGATGTTGGAGGAAAATGGTGATCAGGACGTTTCGGTGAAGCCGTTTCAAGAGCTCGTGTTTTGCATCGGCACAATCGAGACCTTCATTTCCAATCATATGCTTAAAGAAGAGAAACAGGTTTCATGTGCATTAATAAGTTAATAACAAGCAAGTTTTTCGTTAATTTATGGCGTAATTAATTCTTTCAGATGAATAAACATTGTTGATAATCTAATTATGATTCTTTTCCATTTGGTTCTACATAAAATAATAACATTTATTCTTCGAGATAATAGAATGAATTTGTGATTTTTTTACTATGCATCTGTTCAGAGGAATCGGCAAAGAAAGTGCTATAATAGTTGCAATTTTGCTACTTTCTTGCATTTAAGACAAGAATTAGCTAGGATCAATGACACAAATAAAGTTTTCTTTTGATAAAATATTGGTGCTATTCTTTCCTTTTGCATGTTAAAATTGGTAACATTTGACAAAGATAACTTTATGTGCATCAGTATTCAAAGTTCTGTTTCTTTTTTCTTAAAAAAAAAAATGAAGAATAGCACCAACACTTGAGCAAACTGGAAACATTTTTAAAAATAAATTAAAGAGAAAAGTAGAGTAATTAAGACATTATAGCTTAGGTTTCTACCGGATTTCATTACAATGTGCCCTCCATTTCTCAGCAAAATTTGTTGCCCAGACGGTCTGTGTACATTTTAAAAGTTTTCTTCTAAACACAATGTTTGATTTTGCAGAAGGTAATAGATTAATAGGAGTGTGTAGCCAAATTCAAAATGGCTCTTTTTTTTCTCCCCTAAATACATATATATATATATGTATATGTATTTAGATATTTACATATGTATGTATGTATTTATGTATGTAAATATATGCATGAATATAGCTGGCGTATTTTTCATGATCAACGCCTTATATAAAATGCCCAGATATGTATGTATCTTTATTCATCATTAAATGTATGCTTTGCAGATTTTCCCATCGCTCATGGAGCACATCTCCACCAAGGAACAGGCCTCACTTGTGTGGCAGTTCCTGTGCAGTGTCCCTATAGTGCTACTGGAGGACATGTTTCCATGGATGCTCTCCTTTCTTTCACCTGAAGAACAAGTGGAAGTTACAGATTGTGTAAGGGAAATTGTACCTGAAGAAAAGTCGCTACAGGAGGTATAAATAAAGCACCACAGGAAATTTTTTTTCTCAAATGAATCAATTCACATCTTGATTAACCTGTCTAGCTGTTTTGCTAAATGGTCGTGACTAGCTTCAATATATTGTGAAGGTTGTACTTTCTTGGCTTGGTAATAATGTCCATTCCTCATTGGGTTCCTATAGAAAGAGTGGAGGAGTTGCAGACATGAAAATGTTACTCAAGTCTTATTCATGTCGGAGACTTCTTGGAGACACTTGGAGAGCAAGTTCTCATAATGAAGTTGGACACAATCCGGTTGATGGTCTTCATCTTTGGCACGGTGCAATTAGGAAAGATTTAATAGCGGTGCTGGAGGAGCTCTATCAATCAAGAAGCTCAAGCGAGTACTCAAATCTTGACAAACTTGTTGTCCGACTAAAATTCCTTGCTGATATCATTACATTTTACAGGTAAACAAAGTGGTCCGTGAAGCACTTTTACTTGACGCATGCAATAAATAAATTGATGAGGAGACAAATATATTTACATGCATATATACACACACGCGCGCGGGCATATATTCCTTTTGGCATATTTATCTTTCTAGTTAAACATATTCTCACTAGATACTTCCTCATCTACAGCAATGCATTGGACAAACTATTCTGCCCCGTGTTAAACCAACTTGTCCATGGCTGTATGTCTCCCTCAGCTGAAGGGTTCCGCGGTGAGAAGCATATTGAAGGTCTACAAATGCTTCTCTACCAAAGTGCTCAAAAAGACATAAATGTGGGCAAATTTGTCAATAAACTTTGCTGGGAGCTCGAGTCTTTCATCGTGGAACTCAGCAAACAGTTTGCTTTCCATGAAGCAGAGGTACACACACTTTGACTACGTACTGTAGCGAAACATGAAAAAAGCAGAGGTAAAATCATTTTGGTACCCTGTGTTATAGCGAAACATATTCTTAGCACCCCGATGTTTTTAAAAACATCTTCTTGGTACTTTAAAGCTGATTTTTGAGATGTAAAATGACCTTAGTATCCTTCTATTTAATTAATCAAAATCCAATAGATTTAGAAAAAAGAATCATGGCATTTTTATTTTGTTTTCTTTTAAATATTTTAATGTTTTAAAATATTTTCAGATTTTTTTAAAAGATACTGATTTCTATTCAATTGATAAGAATGGTAGTTTGGACATTGCATATCCCAAAAATTAGCTTTAGGGACCAAGAAGATGTTTTAAAAAACATCAGGGTATCGTTTTAATATTATCAAAAATAGAGGGTACCAAGAGCATGTTTTGCTGTAATACAGGGTATCATAATGATTTTATCCCAAAATATAATTTGTGGGATGATTATAGTTTCCAAGATTTGGCTTCCTGATATATAGGAACTTTATGGCTGTATGTATGATCTCATATCTATTCTAATAAAAATTATTTGTGAGAAAAATTTTTTATAAGCTGCTGTTAGCATTACTAAATAATTGTTTAAACAAGGCAGGCCATATGTTTGTTATTTGACACTTCTCCAGGATTTTTCCAGGTGTTTTCGATCATTGGCAAGAATTGTAGTCATCAGACACAGCGGCAGCTCCTGTTTGCGAGCGTTCATATGATGCCACTGGGGTTGCTAAAGTGCGTGATTACATGGTTTTCATCTCACTTATCTGATGATGAATCCAGGTCCATCCTTAACAGGATCAAGCAAGAAGATTCTTCAATTAATGGATCTTTGGGGTCACTCTTACATGAGTGGTTTCGCACTGGTTGTTCCGGTAAAATCTCCATTGAAAAATTTGGAAAGAACCTGCAACAAATGTTCAAGAGCAGGCGCTCTTTCTTATCTGAGAAAATCAAGGATGGTGCTGGATCTTCATCTTTATACTCCAATAAGCAACCTTGTGAGGAATCCGACTTAAGGCTAAAGGTGCCAAGCTCTGCGAAAATGGGGAAGAGCTGTTTGTCATATTCTTCATCTTGTGGTCACACTGCTAGGAAATGTGAGACATCATATTCCAGTGTAATTAATCTGTACATCTATTTTCCAGAAGCATTAAAGGGAACTCATCCCTTTTCAGAAATTCTAGGTGGAGAAAGTCACTCTGGTTCTGTTCTTAATGATCCGAAACCAATGGACCTCATATTTTATTTCCACAAAGCCCTCAAGAAAGATTTAGAATATCTTGTCTGTAGTTCCATTCAGTTGGCTGCAAAGGTTGGGTTACTTGAAGAGTTCTGCAGGCGCTTCAATCTCATACAGTTTTTGTATCAGATCCATAGCGAAGCAGAGGATGAGATTGCCTTTCCAGCTTTGGAGGCCATGGGAAAAGCCACAAACATCAGCCACTCTTACACCATGGACCACAAGCACGAAAGTGAGCACTTCAGAGGAGTATCACTCATACTAGATAAGTTGTCTGAATTGAGTGTTGCACTTTCTGAGGTTGACTCAAACAGGGATCAGATAATGAGGAAGCACTACCAGCTATGCATGGAGCTTCATGTTATGTGCAAATCTATGTATGAACTCTTATCTGACCATATTCATCGAGAAGAGTTGGAACTTTGGCCTTTATTTCGAGAATGCTTTTCCGTAAAGGAGCAAGAAAAGATTGTCGGAAGCATTCTTGGAAGAACAAATGCAGAAATACTACAAGATATGCTACCTTGGTTGATGGGATCTTTGACACAAGAAGAACAGCATATAATGATGTCCCTATGGCACCAGATCACAAGAAATACGATGTTTGATGAATGGTTGAGAGAATGGTGGGAGGGGTATGATATCTCTGAGGTAGCAGAGGAGTCAAATGTTGCACCTTCTACGATTGATGATCCCTTGAAGATTATCTTTGAATTCCTCTGTGAAGTTAATGAGCAGCAAGGAAAACTTTGTAGCCAAAACATGATAATTGCGGAGAAAGGTTATGTTGGTGGTACTGTCAACCGAATGGGAGATCATAAGGTGGATGAGAAACCAATGGATTCTGATTTCGACCTAGATAATGACGGTAGTTTAGAACATAGAGGACCTTACACTGAGGATGAGAAAAAGAGAACCCTTGAAGTACAAAATGTCACATGTCAAATTAAACCGGGAGCATTTATTGAAGCTGCCCAGAACTCCAAGTATTATCATTTCCTTTTGGAAATGAGTCAAGAAGATCTGGAGGCTGCAATCAGAAGAGTGTCACGTGACTCTTCCTTCGATTCTCAGAAGAAATCATACATAATTCAGAACCTGCTAGTAAGGTGAGTTGTAAGCGTCTCTCTCCCTTTATTATTTATCTCTAACCTGCTGGCTTCATTTTTTCTTTACCTTTTCTTTTCCACTAAAAGAGTATACAATTTTTGAGCTGATTGCGGATCTCCACTAAACAAAAACCATCACCTTTGATATGGCCGCTTCTTTGCAAAATCTCATGGATTAAAGTTTGCAATTAAGGGAAATAAATGACGTAGCTTCTTTTCTGTTTCAGCCGGTGGATTGTCAGACATCATTCTCATTTAACTCCCTCGAGCAATGAGCAAGAGTTTCCTGGTCAGCACGCATCATATAGGGACCCTCTCAATTTAAGTTTTGGTTGCAAACACTACAAGAGGAACTGTAAGCTTGTTGCTCCTTGTTGCAACCAGCTTTACACTTGCTTACGCTGCCATGATGACATGGCTGACCATACTATAGATAGGTATAGACAGCCTTAATTAAGTTTTCCTTAGAATTTAATCTTCGCATTTTTTGCTAATGACTCCAACACACATGCAGGAAAACCGTAACAGAAATGATGTGCATGCAATGCTTAAAAATTCAACCTATTGGTCGCACATGCTCAACGGTTTCCTGCAAGAAATCTTCCATGGCAAAATACTTTTGCAGGATCTGCAAAATTTTTGATGATGAAAAGTACATAATCTAATTGATCTAGTTTGATCTCAGTATTTCACCTTACATTTGCCATACATAATAGCTCTCTGTTTTGCTGATTCATTCCTAATAAACACTGTACTGTCCTTTGCCAAAAAGAGAGACTCTAATGTTGAGTTCTGTGTTATGTGGAGGTTCTGATGTAGAAGTTCTCCGCAGGGAAATTTACCACTGCCCTTACTGTAATCTGTGTCGTCTTGGGAAGGGATTGGGTATTGACTACTTCCATTGCATGAATTGCAATGCTTGCATGGCACGAACTCTCTTCATGCACGTATGCAGAGAAAAGTCGTTTATGGATAACTGCCCAATCTGTCATGAAGACATCTTCACCTCCAGTTTGCCGGTGAAGGCTCTTCGATGTGGGCATATGATGCACTCTAAATGCTTTGAGGTACTCCATTATTCCTCTACTTCTTTTGTAGTCGTTTTGCAACTATTGACAAGCTTACTGTAGCTCATACTGCTTTCAGGCGTACACATGTACCAGTTATACCTGCCCAATTTGCGGCAAGTCACTTGGGGACATGAAGGTAAGTGTTACTCTTTAGCATCTTCCCCCCCACCCTAACTTTCTCATTCGGGGTTTGGTTATTTTCAAATTATGCTCAGAATCTTAAGCCTGTAATCTTGAACTATATTACTGCAAAAAATACTTTTTTGGAAGAAGAAGAAAAATTCAAAAATTGATTAATGATAGATGTAACAGGCTTTCATACTTCTAGGAAGGATATTGCTAGATCCTAAGTGATTTACCAAATTTTCAATACCAAGTGACTTGGCATATGATTCGTCGTCAACTATTATCGTCTTGCAGGTGTATTTTAATATGCTAGACGCATTATTGGCTGAGGAGAAAATTCCAGATGAGTACTCCAGCCAAACTCAGGTTAGTACATGTGCCGTTTCTTTTCGCCCTTCTTGTCGTGCTTTATACTTCTGTAATGTAAGGGGTGTTTCATTTGGCTACTCTCTAAAAGTTGCAGGCCATACTATGCAACGACTGTGAGAAGAGAGGAGAGGCTCCCTTTCATTGGCGTTACCACAAATGCTCTCTTTGTGGTTCATACAACACCAGGGTTTTGTGAACATTTTTTATTTTTTTAATTTTTGGGTAGAAATCATGATGTGTAAATAAATTCCTTAGCGAGTTTGAATAATTGCTTTGATGAAGCTACCGGTATAAATCAGCATGTACCAGTAATTTATTACGGAATTTGGCAAAAACATGCCAATTTTAATGTTTGATTAATTTAGTTGCTTTTATTGAGCATAATTTAAGTAACCATTTTGTTTCCTTGATTCAAAATGTGCATGTATCAAGATTTGATATGTTCTAGTACTCGGCAACAGAGTTGCATTCTCTTATGATTGACTCGTGCCCATTGAAGAACAAACATTCAGAGGGGAAAAATGGCGCATCATATTTTTTATGGAGTTAAAAAAAAAAAGAAAAAAAAGAGAAAAAGATGATCCATCCAAAACCAGTTTAGAAGATACATGATAGAAGATGACTTACAGATCAAGTGCTTTTACAGCTGTTGGCTCTTTCTACTTCTACTTTATATGCCCATAGAGAAATCTCAGAGTGAATTGCTCGTTGAATTTGGTTTGGCCACCAAATCTTTGCAATGGTTTTTCTTCCTGGATAATGAAATATATTGCTGGAAGCCGCAAATATTCAAGAGATCAAACTTGAAAGTGACCACATTGTTATACTGTAATCACCTCTGTAGACCTCAAATTTCAGACTTGTTCTCTTACACTGAAAATGCTGTTTGCCTGGCAAAGCCAACAATTAAGCAGGGAAATATGATGGTACAAAAAGCAGTTTTCTGCACCCCACTGGACATTCTATCAAAGCACAAATCAAAATGTCGTTCGAAACCTATCTAACTCGGGAGCTAAAGCCTTCTAAATGAAGTAAGTTATAAGCCATACATCTAAATGCTTTCACTTTGCATTAACTAAGATTCTTCTCCATATTCGCCAGATCTATGACTTCATTTGTTCATCAAGGTAAGCACTGTGATGCAATGGAGAGAGAATTTTACCCGCCTAACCTGAATATATGGTGGGATTTAGAGTTCCCAAATCCACCTAAACAACACTCATAATGGGAAAATCTTAAATTGGAGAGAAAACTCAAGTATTCAATATCTCAATAATCAAGCCTTCTTATTACAATAACTACTGACTATGGATATTTATAGCTCACATGTACAATGATAATAAAATACTCACTAAGACGAACGACATGATAGACAAATAACGATATACTAACAACAGAATAAAAACTAAGCTAATGAACGATAATACAACTACAAATAACAACTAATATAACTAGAACCTCCTACATGCTTCTGATGGAATATGCATAAGAAAAAAAAATAATAAAAAAAAAAAAAATATATATATATATATATATATATATATATATATATATATATATATTGGGTAAGAATATGCGTAGGAACGTTAGATAACTTCGAAATCTGATTTCAAGGTAAATACTAGTAGTTCTAAGGCTTTACTCAAATATGAACGTCGAAAAATGAAAGTAAAGATCATTTGCATATATGTTGTTTTAAAAATAAAATAAAAAAGGCTCCATTTGATGACGTGGTAAAATGCAAAAGGAGATTTCATTATATATTTTTTACAATTAGCCAATAAGTAACTATAGACTGATTAATTCATGAAGTGTTCCATGTGATATAGCATAGAATGAAAGACGCGATAAGCTCAAAATTGTGGAACTTATTCATAAAAGAAAGAAAAAAAAAGGGAGGGCAAAGAAGAAGGAAGAGGTCGTGGAAGTTCTATATAAATGAATTTGGAATAGAAAACTACAATTAAAAAAAAAAAAAAAAAAAAGGGAGAAGGAAAGCGTTTGCACTAGTTTGTTGTTTGCCGGCTTCATTTATGATCAGTTGCCGCTGTCACACTGGTAAGGCTAAAGCATGCAGCAGCATTCTTCAATTCAATATCCGCAACAGGATCAAGTGACTGAGTTGTGTCCTTCAATACGGATTCTTCCGAGCTGCATATAAATTTTACAATATAAGCATGAGATTCTTAATGGGAATCATAATTACCTTATTTGATCAACATAGACAACTAAAACCAACCCATATTGTACCTTGATTCATATGCCTCTTTAGAATCCGCGAAAGATTGTCTGTCGTCCATGAAAAACGGCATCTCATCACAATCCTGCACAACTTGTTGCTGCACATCCAGCGGCTGCGAAACCACCATCTGGGACTGAATAGCCATTGAGCTGTTGTTATTGTTTTCACTGTTATTAGTAGTACTGTAAGGATATTGAGCCCACAAAGGATTCCCCACATTGTTGTTATCCTTAGAATCCATAAAAACAACTGCGTCATAAGCATCATTCGTGTTATTAGAGTAAGCTTCATGTTGAGTCACAGCCAAACCAGGCATGGCATTATAAGCCTGTGCGGTAGTATGATCACTCAAAAGCGGGAGCGCATTACTAGGCGGCGCCATGCCACGCTCTAGCTGAGACGTGACATGTTGATCATGATGAGGCATATTAGACGAAATCTGTTGTTGTTGATGATGATGTTGGCGACAAATCTCGAGGTGAGTATGAACAGAATGAAGCTCTTGCTCCAAATGCCAAATTTGGTATCTCAACTGACAGATCTTCCCCAAGCAACCATGGGCAGGATCTCTGTCCCTTTCATTGGCTTCGTAAATAATGGACCACATAGCAGCTGCTTTCTGCTCAGGGTCCAACTTTTCGAGTATTTTCAAGATGTTTTTTACACCAAACAGCTTGTGGGCATTCTGAAAAATCTTTGGTTGGTCAGGTGGGAAGTAAGGAGCTAAAAGGCACTCTGCCGTACACCTTCTTCTTTGGTACTTGCAAGCAGCGCAAGCCTGGCTTGTGCCACCTTTAAGGGTCATTTTATTGTCGTTTTGGCCCACAAATGATGGGAACAAACGAGATAGAACCTGAAACTAAAAACCCAGAAAGGAAAGGAGGAAATGATACTGAAGAGGAAGAAGAAGGAGGAGCAGAAGGTGGATGTGAACAAGGACCATGAGAGTTTCGGTGATGAGAGACTGAGATGAGAAGCATTTTGTTTTCTTGTTGAGCTATGTTGTGAGGAATAAAAAGGGGATGACTATGAGGAAGCATTTTGGATCTGAAAAGGTCTCTGGCCAAGTGCGAATTTGGAGGGAGAGAGAGAGAGAGAGAGAGAGAGAGACTGAGTAAAAACAACAAGAAGCGAGTTTTGTGGGAGATCATGGTGTGGGTTTTTAGTTTCAGGGTAGAGAGAGAGAGAGAGAGAGAGAGAGAGAGAGAGAGACATTTAAGGACAAAATTTGTTAAGCTAGGAGGATGTTCCTAAACTTTTGGGCCGCATCATGGCTTTATGGCACAATTAGTTAAATATTTTAAAGAGAGAGAGAAAGAAATATGTTAATATTTGAGATGAATTAAAATTAATAAGTTAATAGTTTATATAAGTTAATAAATATGCTAAATTATTATTTTTGTACATAACTTGTCTGGTTATGAACCATAACTTGACAAATTATTATCCATAATTCACGGTTTTTATCCATAACTTGTTTGGTTATGAACCATAACTTGATAAGTTTGGCCATAACTTATCTGATTATGAACCATAACTTGACAAGTTATGGCCTATTAATTTCTATAACTAAAAATTGGTCTATATACTTTCTTAAGCTTATCATATTGGCCTATTTTCTACTATTTTCCTATTTAAAAATATATATATAAATGCAACTCAAATATATCATTTTTATATTTATACCACCTAATAATATAAACTTAACATTTATGTCACTTAATTCATCACTAAATATGGAATATTAAAAAAATATCTTACCGTATTATTTTCTTCTTGGTGAAGATATTCTGATATAATATCATTTTTTTTAGTTAACAAAGATAACAAGAGACCAAATATCATTAATAAAAAATTGAAACATTTTGGTCGTATATTACGTAATTTTCTCGATATTATTTGCATGACTAATAAGCTCATCATTGTATCGACGTTGGTGGATGAGGTTTCAATTATCGCTGTATAATGTTTACGAGGTGTGTTTCATATTTGGGTACATACCACTTTATTATATTGGTGTAAAGTTGGGAAACCATTTTAAGAATATACCAACTAATATATTTGTTTAGTTTATTTAACTTCATAATTGTTTAATTTATTTTGAATCCAATATTTGATTAACATTAGATTAGTAAAAGTATTATGAGTAGAAATCTTCATTGAAGAAGCCTAATAGAGTATGTCAGGTAAATGAGGTGGCCGATGTAATGGGGGCTTTTTACCGCATACTAGCGATAATCTCGTTGTATTCGGTTATCACGAGTAAAATGTCAATTCTATGTGTTAGTAGATTATATTCGTATCAATCCGTTTATTAATTGTATTAGAAAATATCAATTTAAACATGACATACTTATTAAACGTGTTAAAAATATCAATCCAAATACGACTCATTAATTAATCGTGTTAATCGTGTCAACCTGTATAACATGTTTAAATAAATATATAAAATGAATAACTAATATAATAATAATTTATTTAACACGGTCAAGACAATTTTAATATATTTATTGGTCAATTTATCTTTTTCTCTAAGAAAAATAAATGAATTTTACCTATAAATATTAAAATTCACATTATTTGTATTTAATATGTCATATAAACTTTTATGTTATATCACATGTTTTATATTGCAGAAGAAACATATAATTAATCGTGTCAATTCGTGTTAAGAGGTCAACCCTAACTTAATTCATATATTAATTGTGTCAACCCGATTATGACCCAAACTCAATAATAGTAAACCCAAACCCACTAACTTCGTGCGGGTTTTGAATCATGTCGTCGTGTTACTATCCGGATTGTCAACCCTAAACATGAGTTGAGTATAAGGGTACATAAGTAATAGAACCATACTTTTTGGATTTTTTTAAAATAATATTCATACCAAATGGTGATATAAGTCAACATGACTAATGGTCGGTAATTTTTAGCTCATATTGCAACATTGTATTTTTGCTTTTTTTTGGTCGCTTAAAAAATTTATAAATTTTTCTTTCCGATTCGAATTGAGACAATGTTTCTTCATATGCGTTCATAGAGCTGCAAATTCGGGCTGGCCGGGCCCGGGCAAGGCAGCTCAAAAGGGTAGTTAGGGCCAGCCTGTAGTTTTAATCGAGACAGGTCGGGCCGGCCCAAAATAACTTTATATAGGCCCAGCCCGGCCCTAAGGGGCCCTAAGGCCCGATGGACCTAGGGCCGGGCCGGCCCGAATTGGCTCGGCCCAGCCCAACCCGACCATGATTTATAAAAATTTTAAAAAAGATAACGAAATTTTATAATAAATAGTGAATATTGTAAAATTTTAATAGAATAAGACTTTATTGGGACACTCTCGGGTCACCCCCGGGACACCCCGGGGACCCAACCGGGAGACCACCGGGACGCCCCCGGGACACCCCCTGGGCACCCCCGGGACATCCCCGGGAGACCCCCGGGACTCCCCCGGGTCACCCCAGGGTCGTCCCCGGGGCACCCTTGGGACACCCCCGGGGCACCCCCGGGACACCCCCGGGACACCCCCGGGGCACCCCCGGGTCCCGGGGGTCCCAGGGGGGGTGGGTCCCGGGGGTCTCGGGGGTCTCCCGGGTGTCTCGGGGGTGCCGGGTGTCTCGGGGTCCCGTGGGTGTGCCGGGGTCCCGGGGGTGTCCCGTGGGCCCCGGGGGTCTTGGGAGTCCCGGGTGTCCCGGGGGTCCCGTGGGTGTCCCGGGGGTGTCCCGGGGGTCCCGGGAGTGTCCCGGGGGCCTCGGGGGTCCCGGGGGTGTCCTGAGGGTCCCGAGAGTAGGTTTTCTAGGATTTTTAAGGTTTTTAGGGTTTCTAAGGTTTCTAGGGGGTTTCTAGGGTTTCTAGGATTTTTAGAGTTTCTAAGGTTTAAAGCTTGAGTTTTTATAGAAGTAGAAGAGGGATGGGAAAAATTCAACCAAATATGTGTTATTAGGTTAAAAATAAAAACTACTAGTTACGTATACTGCCCCTCACTACGTGTTACTATCCAATACGTAACCGGTTTACAACTGACACAAAAAAAGCATCGCTTGAATATCCCTGGGACAAACAGACCATAAAGATTAATTTCAATTGTTGATATTAATGAATGAATAGGAACTTCAACAGTTTATTGATGGATTGCAGAAGCAACCATATATTATAAGCGTTGCTATGCGGTTCCAGATGACTCCAACTCCATAGCAACGCGTGACTTTCTTATATTTTGAAATAATAATGTTAGGAAACTACCTCAAAATTTAACTTTGTTTATCAATTAATGTAATATATGAGGTCATTTTTATATTAGTGAGTGTTTAAAATATTATCACGTTAATTAATAATAAGATTTTATCTATTAATAAAAAAATGATAATTCACACACTACATTAGTTATAACACAAAAGTTGAAATTTAAATTGATGTGCTTAGCTTATTCGTTTTGAAAATAAAACTGCCCTACAAGTGGGACGCATTCCCTTGGCAACAACTTTTACTTTTGCACTTGCTCCATCATCCGGAGTTAAAAAAGGGTGTATATTATTTTCTTGAAGTCGTTTCCTCTTTTAGAAAGAAAAAAAAGCGAGACGTCGTTCTTTTGTTTTAAAATATGGTGTCGTTTCATACTAATATTATTTAGAGAAAAAAAGACAAATATCTTTTAAATTGTATGAGTTTAGATTTTCATTGCTCACTCTTAATTAATATCTTTTACTCCTCATTTTTAATTAATATATTTCTTCATCAAATAACTATATTAATTAAAAAAGTATTTAATCAAAAGTAAGGAGTTAAAATTTAGATGCATGCAATCTGAAGTAAGTTGAACCATTTTCTTTATTATTCTAACGTGTAGTTTGTCGTCTACAGTTACACGACATGTCGTGTAAAGTTAGAAAGTATGTATACTACCCTTTATTGTATAACGATACGTCGTTTGCATATGAAAGCTTTTTGTGGTCATTTCACAAAGTATTAAAACGTGTACGATCAAATAGATAACTAACTGATAATTTTGTATTAAATTTTATGCTCACCTCTGGACACGTGCCAAGAAGAATTGCAACAAGGGGAGGTCAAAGTGGCTGAAGAAAGACAAGTGGAGGATGACATGGTAGAGAGTGGCGTGACAAAAGGTAGAGCTAAAAGAAGCATTAGAACGAGATTTGATGATTGAAGAGTGGCTGCTACGAGGGGATTGCTAGTGTGATGATTTGAGGCGTTGCAACAAATTCAGTTAGAGGTTGCATTGGTTCTGTTAGAAATTCTAACTACCAGTAGTTAGTTGGGAAGGAGAGTATAAATAATGAGGGTGTACAACTCTGATGCAAATAATGAGAATTACAGAATTTCAGCCATTTGTTTTCTCATCTCATCTTCTTGATTCTCTATTTCCTCTTATCATCTTCTTCTTTCTTTTCCTTTCTCGAATCTTTCGAATACAGTCCCCTTATCAATTGGTGCTTTCATTCGGCTGCCATGGCAACCGGAACTCGAAGCAGATCTATTGAAGAATGCATGGACAAGCGGGAACAATTGATAGGCCAAGTGCAGGGCGAAATGGCATGCCTTCATGCTGAATTCGGGCACGTTTCTGTGAATTTGAATGATATTTCGTACAAAGTATCGACGATGTTCACGGAATGGGAGCAACGGAGGCAGAATCCATCATCGCCGATGAACAATTCTTCCAGTTCGCAAGGGGGACATGAAGCGGTATTGGCGAACTTGAAGCCATTGAAGATTGATGTACCTCGCTTCGATGGAGGAGACCCACAAGGTTGGGTATTCAAGATCCAACAATATTTCGACTACCATCAG